GGCCCAATAGCTTTTAGTGGTCGAACTCATCGCTGAGACGTCACTCCACTTGGGCTTGGGAGCACTGGCCTTTATCCATTCCAGAATCGGCTTGATGTCCGGATCTTCCTGCTGTGCATGTAGTAAGCTGTCCTTCCACTCGTTGCTGAGGTGGTCTGCCCTGAGCATCCTCACGGATACCACTTCCTTACTCTCTTGCCTAGTACAATGTTTGCAATCTTCAGGACAAGGTCTTCTTGACAATGCATCTGCGTTGCCATGAGATTTCCCGCTGCGATGTTCGATCTCAAAGTCGTATTCCTGCAGTAGTTCAATCCACCTCGCAACTTGTCCTTCTGGGTTTTTAAACTGCAATAGCCATTTTAGTGCAGCATGGTCAGTTCGTAAGTGAAATTTTCGTCCCAGAAGATATTTGCTAAAATGTTGCAACGACTTTACCACAGCTAGCAATTCGCGTCTTGTGACACAGTAGTTCCTTTCCGGTTTTGACAACGACTTGCTGAAGTACGCTATCACGACCTCTTGGTCACCATTCCGTTGAGACAACACACCGCCGAGTCCTATATCACTTGCGTCTGTGTCAACTATAAATTCTTTGCTTGCATCAGGGTATCCCAAAATAGGTGTTTTGCACAGACGGTCCTTGAGCTCCTGGAATGCGATATTGCAACATTCATCCCAGCAGAAATGTCGCTTCTCCTCGGTTAGCTTGTGCAGAGGTTTGGCTATATCTGCAAAGTTCTTCACGAATCGCCGGTAATAGGAGCACAAACCCAAAAATGCTCTAACCTGCGTCTTGTCTTTTGGAACCGGCCAATCCTTGACAGCGGCGATTTTCTCTGGATCTGTGCGGATACCTTCTTCCGATACTACAAACCCCAAAAAGTTAACTTGCCGTTGAAATAGTGAACATTTCTTCGGGCTCAACTTGAGGTTGGCACTCTGAATCTTCATGAGCACGCGTTCCAGGTTTTGAAGGTGTTCCTCAAACGTACGGCCCACGATGATGATGTCATCCAAGTAGACCAGACAGGCATCGCCAATTAGCCCGGTAAGTACAAGTTCCATCAGCCTTTCAAACGTTGCTGGAGCATTGCACAACCCAAACGGCATTACTTTAAATTAAAAATTGCCACAGACCCTTTCCCGTCGAGAACGCAGTTTTCTCCTTGTCCTTAGGGTCAATTTCAACTTGCCAGTAGCCACTTTTTAGATCCAGCGTGCTAAACCATTTTACTCCTGTAAGCATGTCCAGCGTGTCATCAATTCTTGGCAAGGGATAGCTGTCCTTCTTTGTAACGTCGTTCAGACGGCGGTAATCAACACAGAACCGCATGCTGCCATCCTTCTTTTTCACCAGCACCACTGGTGAACACCATGGACTAGAGGAAGGTTCAATAACACCATCCTTCACCATTCCTTCAATCATGGTTTCCACTTCCTTTTCACGTGCTACCGGCAATCTTCTTGGCCGCTGACGGATAGGCAATTCCTCTCCTGTGTTTATTTTGTGTTGAACTAGGCCAGTCTTTCCTATGTCAGCATCATTTGATGAGAATACATCGGCGTACTTGAGTAACAACTTCTTCGCCTTGACCAATTCGTTCGGGGACAGAACACTGCGACAGTCTTCCAAAAGTGTGGTCACTCTCGTTTCTGAATCCTTGCTGGGGGTCCCACTCGATATATATTGGCACTGACGTAACCAATCCACTTCCTCACAAGTACCAACCAGTGTGCCTTTTTCTATAATCTGTTCCCGGTCGCAAAGGTTCAGCACACGTACTCCTGAGATGTCAGTGGTCCTGACCAAGGTTCGAACTACTTTCCATGGAAGGTCATTGTTTACCCTTTCCACAAGTACACAACGGTGAGCTTGCCCAGCGTTTCGAGGTAGACTAACCGGAACAATCGTTTCCGATCTCGGCGGAAGAACAATCTTCTTGATGCTGTACACGTTCCCTGGTAACACACCTTCCATAAAAAGTTCCTCCTGTCCACATTTCAAAACACCTTGCTTAATGTCGATCTCACAACAATTATTCCTCATAAAGTCTAGGCCTAAGATGCAGTCGTCCATTATATCAGCCACGATGACATTATGCAGGTAGATCACGTTGCCTAGCTTCAACTCCATCTCCTTCTCTCCACGGACGGGTATACGCTGACCGGTGGCTGTTACCAAATTAAGGCGTTCTCGGTTGTATGCGGAGTCCCCAAGGAACTGACTTATAAGTTGGGAACTAACAACCGTACGAGAGGCTCCAGTGTCTATGGTCAGCTTACACGGCATTCCGTTGATCTCGCCCTTTATGATTAGGCTGTTCCCATCATGGGTTTGTGAGATCGAGATCCTTGGGGGCTCTTTTAACATCAGCCAGCACCCGCCCCGCAGTTCTGGCTTTTACTCGTTTCCCTGCCGCTGCTGGGCGGTGCTGTTGGCCGCACTACCCTCCTGAGATCGTTCAATTTCCCTTTCTAGGGTTCGCTTAGGGCAGCTGAATCGAAGATGGCCCTTTTCCCCACAGCCATAGCACCTTGGGCTGTATCCTTTGTTGCGGTCGCGAACTGTAGCTGCTGCAACCTCCCTGATGCGATGGGAACGATGATCCTGCCGCACGGCTTCCACTTCCAGTGCATGGGCCAAGGCGTCCTTAAGCGTCTCGTGGTGCCCGAGCCTCACAGCAGCTCTGACTTCCAGGTTGCGGATGCCGTCGATGAACGTCTGCACCAGGTTCCCTTCAATGAGCGCAGGTATGCTTTTCGCACCAGCTTCTCCACTTCTAGAGCCCACTGCTGCAGGTTTTCGTTGATGCGCTGCACACGATCTTTAAGCTGCGCACGAAAGACGTGTTCCAGGTGAGCGTCGCCATATCTCGCCTCCAATGCCTCAAGGAGTTGCTCATAAGTCACTTCCTCACCGAGAGCTTCCAGAAATGTTAAGGCCTGGTCGCGCAGGCCTAGTGTGAGAGCAGTCATGGCCTGACTTTTATTCCAGCCGTTCGCCTTCATAACAGCCTCGAACTGGATTTTGTAGGCTGACCAGGAAGAAGTCCCGTTGAATGGTGGCACCTTGAACCCACGTAGCGATGGTGTAATAGCTACTACGGGAGCTGTAGTTCCATCCCCCGTTTTGAGGTCGTCCAGCGTTTTCTTCACGTCAGCCATCACGTAATCAACCCGATTGTTTACTTGGTCGATTTGGGTTTTAGCTTCCTTGATTTGGGTTTCAGCTTCCGACAGGCGGTTGTCATGTTGAGCAACCCTATCCTTCACCTCCCTAATCTCTTTCCCGAAGTTAGCGTGGATGTCCTTCACGAAGAGCATCTGCTCTTCCTGTCGGCGGGCCTGTTCCTCCTGCTGCTCTTTCAACCAACGGGCCTGTTCCTGCAGCATCACCATCAGAGCACCTAAATCGGGTGCTGCAGATGGAGGAGCTACTGACGGGCCTGCAGCCGGCGGCTAGCCCTCCGACGTCAGCGGCGTTGCACCACCAAATCTTCTTTGGTCCGTCTCCTGCTGGCGTTGATTTCGGGTACGGACACCCTCCGTTTCCTCCTTAGGTAAAATCGGCATGATTTTATCCCACTTCTGACACCAATTGTTACGAGCTTGAGGTTCGTGACAATAAAAATTGCCGATAAAATTACCTAAATTAACACTTTAATTTACTTTACACAATTAAAGTTAAAACACTAATAATTTAAACACACTAATTCACTTAATTCCACCCCGAAGCTTCGCTTGTTTCGCCCAAATCAACACTGCCTCGATCGCATCTTGCAGCGCCTATATATTTGAATTAGCAAAGAAATATCCAGAATGTTCAAGTAAACACGCGGAAGGTACCGAGCGTTCGAGTTTCGACTAGGCGCTGTCAGTTGAGCGATTTGTGATGTCATTTTCTCAATGCTCCCCTCGCTCTCGTTCCTGACACTAGATGGCGCTAGTTGACTTATTCATGCAACAATATATATATATATATATATATATATATATATATATATATATATATATATATATATATATATATATATATATATATATATATTTCATATATTTCATAGTTTGTAGTACATAGTATCGTAATAATACTTAATGAAAAACATAGTTTTACCTAAAGGTCGACTTGTATATTATTGGGTCTTTACATACGATATCGAGAATTTCTGTAGTGTACATGAGTACCGCGTTTTTTTAAAAATAAAATTAGAATTAGCTCCCTTTCTGGTCAATCGATGCATTTATGTTGCATCCTTGATACAACTATGATGAGGGGCTACCACGATAAAAACTATGCTCCAGAAGCAATCGGTTTGAAAACAGAATTTCAAAATATTTTATGAATCAGATTTTCAGATTCAATTAAGCAGAAATGGTTTCTTTTCAACTTTACCCTTATTGAATATAAAATATATTAGGTACCAATATTCAAAATTTAACTTACACTAAGTTCTTTAGACAAAAATTAAACAGAAATAATATTAAACCGTCAAAAAACGAAACGTATAGATAAACTAGACGCGTGACGCCAAAATCCCAGCACATGGGAAAAAAGAAACATCAAAAGTCAAACGTGATATATTTTTTTAAATAATATAATTTTATTTTCCATGTACAATATTTTTAAAAATAAAACAAACAACATTTTTAAAAATAATTACTTTATTGTTTATTGTTTTATGTACATTGTAAACAGTGGTTATTTTGACACAAACAAACAGACCGAAACAGACTCTTCAATTTTATTTAATTATACAGTTAATCAAAAAGTATATATAGATAATACGTAGTGATTATATCCTCTTTATGTATAGAGCTCTATGAGTAATCTGTAATCGCCTGTAGTCTACCGTTACCGTGCTGCTATTAAAAAAAAAACAGTCGGCCACGCTTGCCACAAAATTTGTGTTGGAATTTGTTCAATTATTAAAATATTTTTGATTTAATTATTATTGTCGATAACATAAAAATACTTAACGCTATTATTAAATCTCACTATGGCTGATTTAGATGATTTTTTTGCAAAGAAAGATCGTAAAAAGTCGAAATCAGTCAAAAAGTTTGCAACTGCCGATGAATTAGCCAAAAAATTGGAAGATACTAAAAAATCTGATGTAAGGCCGAAAAAGGACAGACCAGCACAAGAAGGTGACGAGCCTGGTAGAACTGCGGTAAGTTGTAACGTACCTTTTAAACTGTACGGAAATCATATTTTATAATATCATCGTGGTCAATTGACATAATTCAGGCGGGCATCGTCGACCTAGCGCTATTTACTTGACGTTTGTGTCATTTGGTCAGACGGGAAAACGACACACGGAATAGTTAAAGTTAAAATGTTACTTATATTTACACTTGGATATGTGTTAAATTCAACAAAGTTCTTCTAAAATTGTTTGATGTAACTTCTCAACGAAACTTATAGCATTGTTTACCTGCTTATTGATATCACTTAATGAATGACAATAGCTGGCCTCATTTTGAATTGAACGCTGGGTAGATACAGACATAATGTTTTAAAATATTTTATTCTCATAAGAAATATACATTTCACTTAATGAGAAGTTACATATTATACATATTCAAATTATAAATGGGTTATGAGCATACAGATTGCAAAAGAAAAAAGTATATATATTAACTTTAAAAAGGAAGGAAAGTTTCATGACATACAACTTCTTATTAGTTTAGGCATACAACTTAGTACTTCCTATATTATCTTTTTGTGTATTGATGTACAAGTTACCAATCTTTTAGAATACAAGTTAATAAAGTGGGTAGTAAGTAAGGTATTTCTTATTGTTACCGATTAACGCTGATTTGCGGTCAGCATATGGACAGGGTTGGATTTAGAATATATTCATTATATGTTGTTTTACTTTGCTTTTAAAGATGTTAAAACTATTTAATATTTTTATTTCTTGTGGTAGTTTATTATATATTTTAACTCCATCAAAAAGTATACTCTGCTTACCATAGTTTGTTCGTACCATAGGTATGTAAATATTATTAGTGTTGCGAAGTACTTTCTTTCCTTTGCCTTTATTTGTTACAAATTTTAATTGTGTGTGTATTTTATTATCTAAAATTTTCTTTATTAGAATACAGGTATTATAGCAATATGTTTGATAAATATTCATAATTTTAGTTTCACTGTACAGTTTGTAGGTGTAAAGAAGTTATAATTAAATAATAGTTTTAATATTTTATTTTGGCTTATTTGTAGGTCCTTTAATGTTGTTTTGTAGGTGCACCCCCAAATTTCAACTAGATAATCCAGATTTATTTGTCTAAAATTATTATAAATTGTACGGCGTAAGGAATATCTTCTCTCGGTAAGGCATCGAATACAACCGTAAGGTGTATTCGATGCCTTTTGAACCCAGTAGAGAAGATAGTTTCGATCTTATTTTGCCTATATGACCCTTCCATGACAAGGTTTTATCTAGCACTAAGCCCAAATATTTCTCTTTGGCTGATTAGTGTATTGTAGAGTTGTCAATGGTGAGAGGGGAATAACTGCAAATATTTTTGTTTTTGGGTTTAAATATCATGTACGAGGTTTTTGATGTATTTATTGTAAGCAAATTGGATTGGAACCATTTATGTATATTTAGATCTACTTGGGCTCGTGCATAACTTCATCTATGGAATGTCCAAAGTATAAAATACAGGTATCATCTGTATATAAAGAAATTTCGCCATTTAATTTAAGATCAGTTATTTATATAAATCAGGAAAAGAAGTGGGCCCAATATAGAGTGTTTGGGAATACCGTACGTAATGGGTTGTGGGGAACTGATAGTGACCAATCTTTACAATTTGATGTCTTTTATTTAGATAACTTTCAAAAATTTTTAAGGCATGGCTGTTAACACCTATATGAGAAAGTTTCTTTAATAATAGTTTATTACATTACAATTTCATTATATAGTGATTCTAATGCTTGTTCTGGTTTGGCTTCCATAAAGGTGTCAGACAGAGTTGTGCGGCGTACCTGTGGCTGTTCGATCTATTTATGGACTGTTTATTGGAATCATATTTGTATTGGGGTAGGAGAGTTGCAAATGCTGGTTACTTTAACTAACATATCTTTAAAAAGTTAATGCAAGTAAGATGCAAGTTATGGTTTTTGAAAGAAAAGAAAGCATGACATATACGAGGGGTGATCCAAAAGTAATGATAATTAAAATAAAACACGGTAATTAAAATAATAATTTAGTTTTCTACATAGTCTCCTAACAAATCAATACATTTAGTCCATCTTTTTTTCTAAACCCAGGATTCCCTTTGAAAAAAATTCTTTGTCTTGACCCTCCCAAAACGCTTCAACAGCGGCCATTACTTCGCTATCGTCTCCGAATTTCTTGCCTCGGAGGCGTTCCTTGAGCTGAGGAAAGAGGTAGAAGTCACTAGTAGCTAGATCTGGCGAATAGGGAGGGTGTTCCGAGCAGTTCGAATCCCATTTCTTGAATAGCAGCCATCGCAACTGCGGCTTTGTGAGCCGGTGCATTGTCTTGGTGAAACAGCACTCCAGCTCGCAGTTTGCTGCGTCTTTTTTCCTTAATGGCCTCCCGTAATCTTCTTATTTGGTCTGCGTAGTAAGAGCCCATAATAGTGGCTCCCTTTTTCAAATATTCCACCATAATGACAAATCAAATAAAAATGACAAAAAAAAATAAAAAATCACTATCAAATATGTCAAAGGAGAACCCAAAATTATAAAACAAAAAAAAAACTAATCACTAACAACCCGTACGCTACACTCACATTTTTATACATTAACATCTGGACTCTGAATACTAAGTTTGATTTACTGCTTCTTGAAATACAAACAAAAAACCCTACGTTTGTTTTACTTACAGAGACTTGGCTCAAAAGCATAGACAAGGGAGCCAGCATTTCGATTCCAGGTTACACACTATACAGATTAGACAGAAAAATAATTCCTGGAGGAAAATCAAGAGGTGGTGGTGTAGCAGTTTATGTACGGAAATTCATTAATAATGTACCAATAGTTGTAAAAAAAAATAGTGCATACATGAGTGAATTGACAGAAGCATTATATCTTGATATTCAACTAAAATCACATCACTTTCTGTTAGTGGTTATATACAGAGCGGACAATGACAAGGAATGGAATATTAAGGACAAAATATTATATGAAAACTTAAGTAATGCATCTGCACACAACACCATGGTCATAGTTGGGGATTTTAACTACAGGGACATTGTTTGGCCTCTTTCTTATAATCAGATCTTGCATGACTCAGCTCAGCTCTTTCAAAAATTCTACTTTGACTCAGCTCTATGCCAAGTTGTCACCGAACCAACCCGCTATCAATCCGGAAATATTCCCTCACTACTGGATGTGGTAATGACAAATGAGGAAGATCTTATCTCAGGCATTACCAACTCAGCTCCAGTTGGTAAAAGTGACCACTGTGTAATTGAATTTCAAATTCAATACCTCATCTCAAGCCCTTCAGCGCAAGGATTATTTAGACGTGCTTTACACAAAATAAACTATGAGATTGTTAATGCAGAGCTCAAAAACACGCTATGTAATCATGACTGGAGTAAATCAGTAGATGAACAGTGGATGGCCCTGAAGGATGAAGTGGAAATTGTTTTAGACAGACATGCTCCTCTCAATATGGTTAAAAAAAATCGAAATAAACCCTGGATAAATGCTTCCATTGTTGAATTGACAAAACAGAAAAAGATTTTATGGGACTCATATGTGGCAGACAAGAAATGCGATACAAAATATAAGGCCTACAGAGACTGCAATAACAGGTGTGTTAGTGAAGCAAGAAGACTTAGAAGTCTTTACGAAGTCAAGATTGTCGAGTGGAAACAAACCCTTCTATGCTCACCTACGCAGTTGCATGGCTTCTAAAGTTGGTCTGCCGCCTGTGGTACGTGGTGAACTTGGCAATCTTGTGGTTGAAGGGTCTAAAATTGCCGAAGCATTTGCTTGTGAATTTGAGAAAGCATACTCATTGGAACCTGACCTTAATAATATTTCCATACCTATACCAAGAGTTAAAAACTCCATAGATGACATCCATTTCACATCACAGGATGTGCTTATGGTTCTCAAGTCCCTAAATGTAAACTCTGCTTCTGGGCCTGATAATGTCCCTGGAGTATTTCTCCAATCATGCGCTGAAACCATCACACCTGTTTTGGTCAATATTATGAATGAATCATATCATATCACTTCAGGTAAGATACCAAAAGACTGGAGACATGCTATAGTAACACCTGTTTTTAAAAAGGGTGATAAATTAGATCCAGCTAACTACAGGCCAATCAGCTTAACTAGTATTGTTTGCAAATGTACGGAGAAGATTATATGTAAAAAAAAGAAAGTTCCTAGCAGATGAGAAAATTATTCCGGATAACCAGCATGGCTTTGTGGAACGGCGCTCGACTACAACTAACCTTCTTTCCTGCTACCACAGATGGACTGAGGAATTAGATAAACATAATCCTTTGGATATATTCTACCTGGACTTTGAACGGGCCTTTGACAAGGTACCACACAGACGTCTTTTGGTTAAATTGGAACATCTGGGTATCTGAGGAAATCTTCTGAAATGGATCATAAATTATCTGAGTGGAAGAATTTTTCAAGTAAGAGTTGGAAATGTATATTCGCAACCTAAAGACGTCTTCAGTGGAGTGCCACAGGGATCTGTACTCGCGCCTACCCTCTTTGGCATTTTTGTTGCTGATCTGAGTTCTATAATACACTCAGAAGCCTGTTTCTTTGCTGATGATGTGAAATACTTCGGAAATCCTTTATTGAACCAGGGAACCTTAAGAGAAGACTTAGAGCGTATACAGGAGTGGACAAAAAATTCGGTTATAAGACAATCCTTCAAGTGCACAGTTCTGCATCTAGGCCGAAACAATCCCAGAGAAATGTATAACATTGGAAATTCAACAGTACAGTCAGTTAACTCACACAAGGATTTAGGTGTTTTAATATCATCCGACCTCAAGTGGGCTGACCTTATCCATAGTATTGTCAAAAAGGCAAACAGCATTTTGTATGCAATCAGACGATCGTTTCAGCATCTGACTCCAGATACATTGCTTAAGGTTTATAAAACATATGTCCGACCGCTGATAGAGTATGGATTTCAAATTTGGAACCCCT